TATATATATATATATATATATATATATAATCTCCACTCACCAACACTGACTCCACTCACCAGTTGAAGCATCTGTTCGTGTGGAATTTGTTTCTGTCCTCGGTTGATGAACAGTGTTTCAGCATGACTATGTTTGGCTTTGGGTGCTTGTTCACATCTGGCAGAGGTGCCAGCAGACCCTGTGAGAGGGCCAATAACATCAAACAGAAAGCGAGAAAGTTGTATTTATACAAAAAATGGTGTCTACATCCTATGTCCACGTTTGTGTTTTATAAAAAATATTGTTTTTATTTTAAGTATGCTTCAATGTTTGGTTAAAAGTTTACAAACCTAACTGTAATATTTCATCACCTCATGGCAACAACATTATAAACCAGAGTTTTACTGTAACTCCCTTTAAGTATTCAGAGAAAAGTCAAGTGTCATTTGTCTGCTGTTTTTCCATGTGATAAAAAAAAAGATGATTTGTTATGTTAATCCTCAGATCTTTCAGTACTTAGAATTACAAGACCTGCTAAACTGTGCTGAAGTATGCTGCACATGGAAATCTATCATCCAGTCGGGCGTGTTGTGGAGTCAGGTCTGCACTCAGAGATTACTTCTTGTGTTTAATTTATGATGCTGTTAAATTTTTTTTAGTTTAAATAGCAAGAGTCTGGATGTCCCCTAATTGTTGCTCTTACTAGATCAACCTATCTGTGGCCAAAGACTGGATAACAGACTGCACAGTGAAGAACATTCTGCAGAGTTACCGTTTATTTGTGACCCATCTTAACCTGCGTGGCTGCACGTCCCTGCAGTGGTCCAGCCTGAGATTTGTCAGTAAGTGTTCAATGCTGGATTTAAGGTGGTTTATATGCAGGTGTGCAATGATCAATGCAATTTGCATTATGATTATGATTATGATTATGATTATTATTATTATTATTATAACCACAATAATGAGTCAAACTAATCAAAATGTCGATCTTTATATATTTGAATTACAAACACAACACCGATAACACATAAAAGCAACAAAAAAATAGTTTTTTCATCTGATGCAGACTTTTTGCTTTACAAATTACAGAACAGGTTAATGAAGGCAAAACAAACAGCCTTTAAGGTTCATATTTTAACTTGAGTCAGGACAATCTGATGATCTGGTATTTCTGCGGCACCCTCAAGGCGCTCGGCTCCAGCTCCTCCTCCTCCAGCTCTGCCTGTGCTTCCATCAGTGTGTTCCAGAGCTCGGGGTCTGTCTGGTCTTGATCTGGCCTGCTTTGCTGCTTTGGACACTCTCTGTTGTAAGCTTTCACATACTCCTCCACGCTCTCCCCAGCATATTCCAGAGGAGAGTAGCACACCAGGCCTGAAGGACTCACTCCTGGATGGAGGCTTAACCAGTAAACCATGTATTGAATGCTGAAAAAAGGCAGGGAGTTTTTAGTTAACTTGTCAGCATTTAACATTGAAAAAAGATGCTTATAAAAATTTGAGCTGAGGAACCCACCTGTAGTCACACACCCAGAGGTTTCCTTCCAGTTTTAAATGTAACAGGAAGTAGAGGTCTTCAAGAACCCCGTGCTGGACAAACGTCAGGTTGTTGTTTGACAAGTCCAGCTCCTGCAGATGCAAGAGCCCAGTCAGGGAGCCTGAGAGTGAGAGAGAGAAAGCAGAGGTTCATGGGCACAGCTTCCGTTAGCTTCTTGACTCTCTCAGTATAAATATATGAAGAGCAAAAGCAGTGCAGTCAGACTTTAATATAAATGCTCAGCCTGTCTTCAGTGTGTGTCTGAATAACTTCACCACACTGATCACTTTGTCTTCAACCTCCTAAGCTTTCCCCACCATAAATTAAATTATTACAGTATACAGAACGATGGCAGAACGCCCGCTGTCTCTGAAAACACAAAATGGGAAACAGAAGGCGGCAAGAGTTGTATAACTGTTCTTAACCTTTTGACTTTGCATATCCATATGGTATCCATCACATAAAGAAAGTGGCGTATACAAATTTGCAGTTGTGCATGTGGATACAAACCTACTGAGCGCCGTACATGCTGTTGTATTCCCTGATTATTAGAAAATAGGTAATAATAGCATGCTTACCTTTGTCCAGGTGCTCCATGTTGTTATTGCTGAGATTAAGGGTTCGGAGACTCTTCGCGGCATGAAAGTCTCTAGCTTTGAGGTGACTGATCGAATTATGTGACAGGTCGATGTGGACAACGTTGTCGGGGATACCTGAGGGCACCTCAGTTAAACCTGAGCATAAATAAATGCAGAAAAAGCTTTATCTATATGTTCAGCTCAATCTTTCATGCATTCAATTCAAATTGGTCAAACCCAAGAGTGCTCCAAGAAGTCAGCACAAGTTCCACTACTGGATGATTAGTAACTAAAATGTAGCACAGAGACAAATTGGAGTTCTGTTTCTATCCAGAAAATGAGTTAAACACTAAAATACAGGCTTCGGGCCAGCAGGATGATAGTAGTACATCTAATTTAGTCCTTTTTTGGACACACTACAAATGGTTTTCTATTTTAATAGGACTGTTCTCATAAAAAAGCCAGATGTTGGCTTTCTTTTCAAATTTATAAGGTGACAAACTCCTATAAAGTGATAATATAAGAGGTTAAGTAAGCACACATTTGCAAACCCACACGTGCATGTTTGCTTGTTTTACGTTAGGTTGTGAAAATTCTTTGAGTGAGTTGTTTAGTCGTCCCAGCCAAGCAACAGCAATATTTAATCATGAGCATACACGCTCTCTGACAGTCGCAGGTATTTTTCCTAACCCCTCTCTTACATAACAAAAACACATGTGATAAACCTCTCAGGAAATGGCTCAGAGGAGAGGAGGGTAGAGTGCAGAGAGCTTGCCTCGGTTACTGCAGTCCATCCGTATTTGGGGGTAATGGTAGGTGAAGCAGACTGTAGTAGCATCTGGTTTGCTTCGAATTGAACTGGGCTCTAAAACGCCCGTGTAACCCGTTTCATCACTCTGTTGGTTGTTGGCCGGGTCTGGTTCTTTACAGAGTAACTCAGGATCAACGTGCTTCAACTTCATGTTTTTTAACCAGATGGGCTTGGCACACCTAGCAGAGGGGACATTTGGACACTGAGTAATGACTTAAAAAGTGCACACTACATATTGAGTTTTGTTGGAATCACTTACCTGGCGTGGTTTCCTAGATTACGATTGCTTGGCACCTGAAGAGTGCGTACAAGACTATCAATTGGGCAGAGACAGTTCCAGGGGTTATCATATAAACGCAAGTAGCCAAGGTTTGGCATGGGGATGAGAACCTCCTCACTAAGTGTTTGGAGGCGGTTGTGCTGAAGCAGCAGGGTGGTAAGCTTTGTCAGACCCTGGAAGGCCCCATCCTCCACTAGAGAGATCTGGTTCTGCTGCAGGTCCAGACTATCTAAATTCTCGTATCCGAGGAAGGCTCCATCATGAAGGACTTTAATTCGGTTACGGGCTAGAAGGAGGTGCTTGGGTTTGTTGGACCATGTGTTTGCGGTGGGAATAAAAGAGAGACGCCGTTCTTGGCAGTCTACAAAGACATGCCCAGATTCTGTTGACTCTAAACAGTTGGGTGACACAAGACCAGATGGGCCTGACCTGCTGTGACGGCGAGGACCTCTTGTCCTGACGATTCAAACACAAACAGCTGATTAATCTGTGAAAAATGGGCTGCAGAAATCAAATTAAATGTAGGAGTAATCCATACCTGTCCCGTGTGAGTTTGTGCCTTGCTCCTTTGAGGCCTCTGCCCTTTCCTGGTTTTTTCATCTGGATGGATGGGAGCAGCAGGAGGAAAAGGCAGAATAAGAGGAGAGGGGGGATTGCACGCATCCTGAACCCTGCAGGGGGGATTGTCTCTTCAGCAAGATGAACTGGAGTCAAATCAGCTTCTGATGAAAGTTTTCAAACTGGGAAATGGAAACAACAGGTCAAAGGGCAAATTTGTTATTGTTGATTGTACACAGGAGCTGTCATCCCTGCAGAAGTGAGAGGTAACACACCAATCTGTTATACCATTATGACCAATCACAGGTGAAGTGAATAACACTTATCTCTATGTTATCAAATGAGTGAACATTTTGTCCTCAAAGTTGGTGTTAGAGGCAGGAAAAACAAGCAAGCGTGAGTATCTGAGCGAGGTTGACAAGGGCCAAATTATGATGGCCAGAACATCTCCAGAACTGCAGCTTGTGGGGTGTTCCTGGTCTTCAGCGGTCAGTACCTATCAAAAGTGGTTCAAGGAATGAATATGGGAGGCCGAGGCTCACTGATCCTTGTGGGGAGCGAAGGGTGGCCTGTGTGGTCCGATCCAGCAGACGAGCTACTTCAGCTTAAACTGCCGAAAAAGTTAGCGTTGGTCCTGATAGAAAGTTGTTAGAATACACAGTCCATCGCAGTTTGCTCAAGAATAAACTAACAAGGGGTACATGAGTATCAGAACTGGACCATGGAGCAATGGAAGAAGTGTTCTCGTCTGGTGAATCATGTTTTCTTATAAATCACATGGTTGGCTTGGTGCAGGTGTGTCGCTTACTTGAAGAACTCCTGGCACCAGGACGCACTGTAGAAAGAAGGCAAGCTGGTGGAGGCAGTGTGATGCTTTGGTCAATGTTCTGCTGTGTTCTTTCAGCAGGATAATGCACCCTGTCTCAAAGCAAAAATGGTTCAGGAACTTTTTGAAGAGCACAACGATGAGTTTAAGTTGTTGACTTGGTCTCCAAATTCCCCAAATCTCAATCTAATTGAACATCTGTGGGATGTGCTGAACAAACAAGTCAAATCCACGGATCCCCCAACACACAACTTAGAGGACTTAAAGGATTTGTTGCTAACATCTTGGTGTCTGATACCACAGAAACACCTTCAGGGGTCTGGTAGAGTCCGTGCCTCGATGGTCAGGGCTGTTTTGACAGCAACCAACACAATATTAGGCAGGTGGTCAAAATGTTATTCCTGACTGGTGTATGTACAGCTTTAAAATACAGTGGATTACTATGACAATACTTGTTCATTCATTAAGATACAGTCAAGTATTTCAAAAAATATTCAGCATAGTACAAGTACACATGTATCTGTTCTATACTGCTCACTGTTTTATTGCAGGTGAATGCAGAAACCTGCAGGAGCTCAATGTGTCTGAGTGCTTTAATGTTACAGTAAGTGAACATGTTAACAACGAACATCTTAAAGCTACAGAAAAATGCATCTTGCTTTTGTATGTGCACATTTACAGTTTTCTAAAGTTTGACTTTGACTTTCTAAACCTTGACAAAACCCTGATTCTAATTGATTTCATCCACCGATAAATAAACAGGCAATGGTCAGTTTTCCAAATATAGATTCTAGTAACAGGTTCCTTCCTGGTTGGATGGGAACATTTCAATCTCTCCTTTTGTAGGATATGATGGTCCAGAGAATTTTGGAGGGCTGTCCCTGCCTGCTCTACTTGAACCTTTCTTGCACCCTCTTAACAAACAAAACTCTACAAGAGCTGTCCAGGTAGGTCTCCATTTGTGGTAAAACCATCAGTGATTTAGACTTTGTCACCAGAATAGATTTAAAAGATGCTACAAACGGTGTATTGGTGTGCATAATGTTTCCTTCTGATGGCATCCCGCCCCTCAGGTTCCAGAATTATCTACGTGTCTGTTTGTCCAGTTGAAGCCCACAGCTGGCTTGTATTTCATGTCCGAAATGAATGCGGTCTGTGCCAGAAAAATGATTTAGAGAAACAGATGCTACACTGTATAATTGTATGACAGGTTGATCAATTTCCATGATGGTGTTGCTCTCTCACAGCTTGTAGTATTATGCAATGCTATCTGATTCACATTTTCCCACAGAATAATGTGAGGATGCTCACCTTTAATTGACAATGACATTTTCCTTTTTTTATGCCAAGGCTTTCTTTTCAAATGTAACTTTTTGTGCTAAAAACAAACAACCAAACAACCAGCTATGATCTGTACAAGGCTCATTAACACAAATAATTTGCCTTCATCATTTCTTACATCTAACAGAAACTGCCTGAGCCTTCAGTATCTGAGTCTGGCCTACTGCGATAGATTCACAGACGAAGGTTTTCTGTACCTGGCCACAGGGAAGGGCTGCCACAATCTCATCCACCTCAACTTGTCCGGCTGCACCCAGGTCAGTTGATGTGTTTCTCTCAGCTGCTCCACTCAAATTCAGCTGAAAACAGCAAATGGCTTTTGACCTCCTCAGTCCGTCTTGAACAAATCCAGTCACTCGTCTGTTTGCACGTGTTCTCTCTTGTTCCTGGCGTTGCTGGGGTTTGCACTCGGGGAGAGCTCCGAGCGAATGAGCAGAAGAGAGGAAAAGGCAGCTGTGGCCAAGCAGAGGTTTGGGTTGGCCCACCCACTCAGCATGTGTACACTCTGTAACGTAACCCACGTACTGCAACATGAAAGACACTTTTCTGGGAATGCGTATTAGTTTGCTTCCAGATGTATAGTTTTATGGGGCCCTGAAAATTCTGTGAATGAGGAAAAGTGCATCCAGGAGACTGATTAAGATGAAGAAATAGACACAGATTTTCCCCTCTCCTCCTAGTTGACCGTGGCTGGGTTCAGATATATTTCTGCTGGATGTCCTGCACTTGAAGAGATTGTGATCAACGACATGCTCACGCTCTCAGATAGCTGTGTCCTGGTGAGTGTAAATCATGGCACATGAATGTGTCTTGTCTTGTGCATAATTCTTTGTACCCACACCCTTAACCCCATGTTGCTCTTCTCTAACAGGCCCTCCTTACCAGATGTCACTGCTTGTCTGCTATTTCTCTGCTGGATGCACCACATCTTTCCGATATCGCTTTCAAAGCTGTTGCTGAAGCAGCCAAACTGAAGTCTTTCAGCATAGAGGGTGCGATCACATCCCACAGTCTTCATTTCAATACACGCACAGTGGGGGAAATAATTATTTGATCCCCTGCTGTATTTGTAAGTTTGCGGCTTATAAAGAAATGATCAGTCTCTAAATTTTATGGTAGCTTCATTTAAAAGGAGAGTCAGAATATCAAGGAAATATCCAGAAAAAACACATTACATCAAAGTTACAAATTGATTTAAGTGCCATTGAGTGAAACAAGTATTTGAATAATTCATGATTCCACAGATTGGTTGTGTGCCCAAGTTGCACACAGATTTCAGTCAGTCAAACAAAGATACTCCTGATTGCAACTCATATGTACAAAGCACACCTGTCCACATAATCAGTTTTGTCCATTCCAACCTCTCCACCATCATAGACATGACCAAAGAGCTGCCACAGGACATCAGGGGCAAGATGGTAGACCTGGGAAAGGTTGAAATGAGGTACAACAACATCAGCAAGAAGCTTGGTGAGAACTATTAGTGCAATTATTCAGAAATAGAAGAACTATAAAATGATCATTGCTCGTCCTTCATTCTGGAGCTCCATAAAAGACGATGCCTCATGGGGTGAAAATTGTGTGTGGATCAGCACAAAACTACACAGGAGGACCTTGTTAATCAGCTTGGCAATAGACTACGCCAGGGGTGGGCAATTCCAGGCCTTGAGGGCCGGTGTCCCTGCAGGTTTTAGATCTCACCTTGGGTCAACACACCTGAATCACATGATTAGTTCGTTACCAGGCCTCTGTAGAACTGCAGGAGCTAATTTAGCCATTTAAATCAGCTGTGTTGGTTCAAGGACACATCTAAAACCTGCAGGGACACCAGCCCTCGAGGCCTGGAGTTGCCCACCCCTGGACTACGCCATAATGGATTGAACCCACATGGTCCCCCTGCTCAAGAAGCCACATGTAAGTTTGCCAGTGAACATCTAAATGAGGCTTGGGAGAAAGTGCTGTGGTCAGATGAAACTATAATCAAGCTTTACAGTATTAACTCAACCCGTTACGTTTGAACGAAGAAAAGTACTGAGTATGACCCAGAAAAAAACCATCCCGATAGTGAAGCATGGACTTGGAAACATTATCCATTGGGACTGTTTTTTTCTGATACTGGTACAGGACAATTCTACAGGACTTGAAGCTTTGAGTGCCCAAGCAGAGGCCAAACTGAGGAGTTGGCCAAAGTCTCTCCTAAGATGTGTCCTAACCTGGTGACCTACCTGTGCCTGCTAACACAGGTTTCTCCACCAAGTATTAGGTCATGTTTTGCTTGGGGTGGAAATACTCATTTCACTCAGTGACATTAAAAAAAATCAATTTATAACTTGTATGTAATGTGTTTTGGTTGATTTTTGTCTTTTTCCATTAAAATGGAACTACAATAAAAATTAAGAGGCTGTTCATTTTTTTCAAGCGAGCAAACTTAAAATTTCAGCAGGGGATCAAATAATTGTTTCCCCATTGTGTGAAGAGTTTTAATACTGCTCCAGTTATTCTCCACTATGTTGTACACAATGCTTGTGCGTTAGGCAACTACCAGCTCACAGACTTGAGCTGGAACGCCCTGTTCAGAAGCTCACAAGGTCTCCGCAGGCTCCACGCAGCAGAATGCCCCGGGATGACTGACGCAAGCCTCAAATCTGTAGCCTCCCTCCAACATCTGCGGTATCTTAACATCTCGTATTGCAACAGGTGTGTGCTTGTTTGTGATGACCGAAGTCTCACTTTTCATACCTTTTTCTTTACATTTCTTTAAATAATGTGTTTCAGGGTGACTGATGTTGGGGTGCAGTATTTGACTAAAGGCTGCTCAGCGAATGAACTGCAAGAACTGAATGTCAGTCACTGCAGTCACATCACTGACATCTCTGTCATGAGGATTGCACAAAGGTACACCCAGTTACGTCTCTGATTATATGACAGGTTTTTTTTTTCATGAGTATTTACCCAGAACTGAGCCTAAATACTATCATAAAGCAGCTTTTGTTTGCATTTTTTCCAACTTGTTAGGTTGTGTAAACTTCTCCATCTCAATCTGAGTTACTGCGAGAGGCTGACGGACTCGGCCGTGGAGTGGCTGGGTGGGAGCTCTCTCTGCTCACTTGACCTCAGCAGCTGCAACATCCAGGATCAAGTACTGTTACCATGTTTGCTCTTGTTTTCACGCATTGCTGAAGATTTGAATTTCGGGAATTTGAAGAACAGCCTGTAACTTGGGTATTTGCATTTTTAGGGACTGGCCACTCTTGAGGGAATTCCCTTGAGGAAATTGGTTATTGCCAAGTGCTTCTCTGTCACAGACGCTGGAATTAAGGTGCATATTTATCTGAAATTTCAGCCAACTGTTCAGCGTCCAAGTTTTCTTCTTCTCACATTGTTTTGTAACATTGACAACTGACGGGAATTACAATTGTATCCAAACCTTTTCCTGGACTAATGGTTTTACAAAATGAAACCCTTCTCTTTTTCCACAGCTATTTCAAAGAATCTTTTGCTTTCAACAAGCCAACACTATTGAAGAAATGATTTCCAATTTCCTCCATGTTTAGTCCTCATTTATTTTCTAATCAGTAACACTTCATCACACATCTCTCATTTTCTTTGTTTCTCACAATGAGCAGAAGCTGTGCAAGAATGTGACAGACCTGGAACATGTCGATATCTCTCATTGTGTGGCTCTGTCTGACGCAGCCGTCAGAGCCTTTTCGTTTTACTGCAGAGGCCTGGTCGCACTGCGGATGGTCGGCTGTTTTAAGGTATAAACGTGCACATTACTAAGGCATTTAATGTTACCCAGTTGAAGGAACTGCCTTTCTTCTTGTCATTTCATGACATTTTTTCATTTTTCTCCCCCTGCCTCAGATGACCGATATGGCCGTGCAGTATCTGACAAGTGGATCTCAGTACTTGCGAGAACTTGATGTGAGTGGTTGTGTTCTTCTCACAGATCTCACACTTTGGTACTTGGAAAGAATTTGTCCTCCACTCAGTTCCATCACGATGGCCTGCTGCAGCGGCATCTCGAGGTACAGCATGCTCTTAAAAGTTCACAGCAAAGCTAAACTCCTGCCCAAAACTTTAACTGATCGATGAAGGTGTTTCCTCAGGGCAGCTGCCTCCAAACTTCAGCCACGTGTGACATACTGGGAGCACAGCAGCGACACCCCTCCATACTGGTTTGGATACAACATGGGGCATCTGGTCACAAAACCCAGCAAGTGATGATCCATCAGAAGTAGCAAAGCAGTAATCAGTAATGACAACTGCAATAAGTCCATGCAGGAAATAAACTGAATTTTACCTGTGTGGTCTTTCTGGTCTGTACCTGTCGAGACAGAAGCCTACAACACAAAGTTTTACCTGCTTTGCTGACACATTTCATCAGTTTCCAACAGCACAGTTGAAGTGGTGTACTAGTTTACTTCAGGAGCCAGTTTGCGGTCCTATCTATTAATAATATAGCAACCTTTTCTCACTGGAAATCCTATTTATATGCACAGTTTCTCATGGACTTGATGTTTCCGGCCATCATTGGTCTGAAATGACTGAATTCAAAGTTTGCTTCAAATTCAGAAATGTCTCAACATAATCTTTAGAACAGGGGTCTCAAACTTAAATGAGTCGTGGGCCACTGCTCATTGGAGGACCACTTTAGTCTTCAAGTAGTACAAAATCAAACAAGAAAACTCCCACAAATATTTCCAAAAATGTAGTGTTTCGGTTTTTGTTTTAATTTCAAATATTGTATAACAAAACTGCAAACGTGAAGTAGGGGTGAGGTGGGCTGCAAGTGGGCCCCGGGCCGCAAGTTTGAGACCCCTGCTTTAGAAGTTTACTGTTCCAATTTTGGGTGATGTACATTTTATCCCATAGATGGTGAAGCTTTTTTCTACTGCTCCCTTATTCCCATCTGATTTATTTTAAATACCAGATGTCCTTCCTGACACAACTCCAAAGGGATTTGGCGTGGACCACACTATAGAGTCACTACTCAATTTGAATTTAATGGCAGAAAAGCATCTCATATTTGACAGAGTGCCATTTTTACCACTGTGTAGCATCTCCTCTTTTAACAACAGTCTGTTAATGTCTCAGAACTGAGGAGACCAGCTGCTGGACGTCTGGGAGAGGAATGTTGTCTCATTCTTGACTGATATAGGATTCTGACTGCTCGGCACTGCTGGGTCTGACGATGATGATCCACCAAATGTTTTTAATAAGTTAAGTCTGGACTTTGGGTCAGTTCAGCACTTTTCTACTATGGAGTCATGCTGTTCTAACAGATGCTGAACTTGCTTTACTGAAATTTGTAGTTCTTCCTGAAAATGAATGGCGGTGCATGTTGTTCGCAAGCCTATATGCATCTTTCAGCGTTGACGGTACTTTTCCGTGTGCGAGCTGCCTTCAGTCACTAATGAACCCTTATACTGTTAAAGATGCAGGATTTTGAACTGAGCACCGACAACAAGCCAGATGGTTGACCCTCTCTTTAGTTCAGAGGATACAGCATCCAAAAGTTTTTAAAAACAATTACAAATTTAAATTTGTCTGACCACAGAACAGTATTTCACTTTGCCTCAATCCATGTTTGATGGGCTTTAGTCCAAAGAAGACAGTGGGATTTCTGTATTATCTTCACGACAGAGCTTTAACCTGCATTTTTGGATGGCGCTGCAAACTATGACCTTTTTCTGGAAGGGCTCCTGAGCCCACGTACTGATTTTCATGACAGAATCGTGTCTGTTTTTAATGCGGTGCTATCCAAGAGCCCAAAGACCACACGCAGCCAGCATCAATTTTTGGCCTTGTCCTTTGCGCAACAGAGATTTCTCCAGAGTCTCTTTATAATATTTAAGATATTTACAATTTTATGTTCAGGAACATTATTCTAAAATCGTTCCACAGTTTGCAGATTGGTAAACCTCTGCACGTGTTTACTTCTGGGAAACTGCGTAAACTGTTGTACTTGAACCCAATCATGCTACTGACATGCTGCTAGCTGCAAAACTCATTTTTAAAATAATATTTCCAAATATGTGACTCTATAATTAATTAGAGGTGAACACAAGGGTAACAGTGGAGAGGTGCAAGGTATTCAACGGTGCTTTCATAGTTTGAGGTAGCTTCCAGTAACATTCGGTAAACTTGGACAAAAAAAAGAAAAAAAGAAAAAAAGAAAATATGAGCAAAACTTTCTTTTTTTTTTTTAAAACATCCAAAACACCAACGGTTTTGTGCACACATAATCTCACTGCAGTCTGTATGTACAGTGGCTTCTTACACACATAGAACATTTGTAATATACTTCAGATTATAATGCAGTATATCCTGCGTTAAATAAGCATTCAGTCTCTTACAGCTGCAGTAATGTTTGGCTCTTTCTTGTACATTTTTTAAGTCCCAGTTCAGCGATGCATCATTATGATTCTAGGAAAAAAACGGGACATTCAGCTGACTAGCCTCCGGGACTCAAACCAGCTTTGTACGGTCAGTCTGATGGAGCCTCTGTCTGCTTGAGCTTTAACCCACTGATTAGCCGGAGACTCTACATTCATGTAGCCTGTAAGAAACACAGAACAGGGCACATAAAAGTAGGAGGAAAACAAAGCAGAGGCGGATTATGAACAGAACATTGTGTATGGGATTACTTGTTTTAGGATATGGCATTAACTGTGCCACAGGGAAGCGTTATAAAGAAGGTTACGAGCTTACCAGTAACGGTGGTGTGGCCTTCAGACGTGTTGTTTTCTACTCCATGGAGAACAACCTCTGGGCTGATATCCACCGACGTCCCACAAAGCCTCACCCCAGCTCTTAATGAGGACGGCACACGCATGCTCACCGCTCCTACGTAAGACACAGAACGAAGGAGAAAAACAATATGACTCAAAAGATGTAACAAAGAAAGTTGTGTCAAATAAAGACAAAGTTGTTCTTGTAATGTGTGTTTACCTTGCTGACTGTGAAGCTCAGCACTGCCACCGTCTCCCACGTAGACATCGATGCCTCCGCTGTCAGAGGAAACCTTCAGGAAGCTATTTGAACCATCTGAAAAAGCAAAGCCTCGGGTGTTTTGTTTTGCTTCCACTGACGGAGACCATATAAAGGGCAATGTGCAGTCGGTTGACTTGCTCACCTATAACTGTATCTCCACACGCGTTCTTCACAGTAGTCTCACCTTTAATTAATGAAAGCACATAATTAATGATAACACTTCTAAGACTGTAGATATAACAAGCCTGCAGCTCTAAGTCAACAAGATAATTGTTTCCATGCATGTGTTGGAGTCTGAGGCTCATCATTATCAGGAAGAAAAGGAAACGTCTGCATCAATGGTGCATTTTTCTTACTACACATCACAAAGCTCTGATCTCATCTTGACTTTGAAGAATTAGTCTTCTTAAAACTACATTGTTTCATAGCTTTTCAGAAACGAGTAACAAGCTGGATAAGCGGATAAATTACAACCACATTGCAGTTAAAATCACCTCTGATCCGAGCCCGGGATTCCAGACATACCAAAGTCCTGCTTTACCAAGCAAGTAACATAAAGCAGCTGAGTACAAAATGTGCTGCAATGTAATATAGTGTGCAGAAAATAGCAACCTCTTTGTGTCTGTGAAGGTTCTCAGTCACCTCTTTGTGCAGATTTACCCATTTTGTGTTACTTTAGATTATTATTGCCTGTGTGTTAACCTGCCAACAGTATTTTAATACTCAGGTCGGTTGTATTTGTTCCAATTTCACACACTGTTGGGATCAATAGCTGGCAATGAGATCTTCATTTGATATTTTTATCCACTGGCAAAAAATATATACATTTACTTAAAAACTAAACTATCATAATCTAAACAATCTAATGTGTAGTAGAGTCTAAGTATTTAATTGCTTATTGGCTCACTTTGCATTGGACTCTGGCTTTCGTAATAACCACACATGTAATTTCATTAAGATACAAGTTTTTATTAAAAATGAATGATGGACGCTCGCTTTTGCTCACCGTGCACGTGCCCTAGGTTCACTCTCCCCGAACGGGATGAGATGCAGGTGGACTCCGCGTAGATGGCTTTGACCTTCAGAGGGCCGTGCTCTGTTGACACATTCATCTTGGTGCCCTGGAGCTTCTTGACATCCACTGCCTGTAAACGTAGAACTGATCACTACACAGGGATGTACACGATGTATAATCGCAGCTTTTTTGATGTTGTTTGTTTTAAGAAATAGCCTCAAATCAAAAAAAAAAAAAAAAAAAGGAAAACATGAAACTCAACACTGCTAACGCATATTTCAGGGTACTGCTGCCCCCTAATGACTTCTGAGTATAAGGACTAACACGTAGAAATAACAGTCATCCTTACACTGTCTCCGCCAGTGCTGATGACCACGTTGCCATTGATTGTGCCCACACCTGTAACATGCCCTTCGTGGGATTGCACCTCAACCTGATGAGCCTGAAATAAGACAGGAAAAGATGAGAAAGGGCGCTCTTTTCAGGATGCTCACAGTTTGCATAGAGAAGACCGATGATTTGAAATAACAGAAAAAGGGACAACTGACACTGAACAAAGGTGGTGGCCTACAACACAAACTGCCAGCCACCTGTGATCCAGTCTTGAGATGTCTTTCCAACAACTTGTACCTTGACCGGTGTGACCTTAATGACTCACAGGACAATTTTCAGGACTACCTCCAAAAGGGTGTAACTTCAGGTATTTTGACGTAAAAAAGACTAATTATACTGTGAGCCATTTCAAGTATTACATTAGTAATTTAAGTAGTGCATAATTTCCAGGATTGTTGAAGAAACAACAGTCCTCATCACATATTTTATATGTAAGGCAAGGCAAGTTTATTTATATAGCAATTCAATTCAACAAGAAGGTGATTCAAAGTGTTTTACAGAGACATTAAAAAACAAAAACAAATAAAAAGCATGTAATAAAAGAGGACAGCTGAATAGTGGAGCATGCATGATGCACATCAATATAATGGATCATGCAAAATGTAAAAAGGCAAGGTGAAGGCACTACAATATAAAGGTGCAGGGCATTTACAGTGTAAGATGGGGAAATTTTGTTTGTCTTTTCACTAAAATACCCAGAAACTACACATTACTGAAAACTGCTTGGAGTATAATTATTTCTTCGTTCCTGTATAAACTTGAATTTTGAGCAAAGTCTTTGCAGGTAAATATAAATGCATCGTAATTTCAGGTAAAATACATGGAAAATCAGTTTAATTGCAGGGGAATTACAACCTGATTCACAGGCCAGTGAAGAAGTCCACTTGCCTTCAGCTCAAGTGTTTAAGGATCAACAGTCACAGTCAGTAAATGTTTTGATAGATGAAGGTCAGGGCCGAGCTGTTTTAGCAGAAGAGTGTGTGGTTTGTCTTTGTCTTTGTAAGATAAGCAGGCCTGAGAAAGACATAGTGTGGGTAAATTGCTCCAACAAGTAGGACCGACTAATTGGAGGCCTGACATGTGTTGCCAATACCCACCTTGACAGAGTGCAGCAGGCAGTTCCCCTTTTCTGTTCGCACCTTGCAGATATCACACTCCATATTCTTAACTTGCACGCTTCCCTTTCCTTGAGTAGTAATGAAGAGATCTGACAAAAGTTCACATACAGAAATGATTCAAGAGCGCAGAATCACTTTAGTGTGGATCCCCTGTCATAGACACACTCACTGCTTTTGATGGGTGCAGACATTTCGATGGACACGTCGCTGTCCACCGTCTCAGCGGATATTAGGAGCTCTTTGCTCCGGTCATCATAGTGGACCTTTAACCGATCCAGACTGACTTCCTGCTCCTTGTCTGGCCCGTGGACTGTTATGAAGGCTCGATCAGCCTCGGGGTAGGTGTGCGGGTCCAGCGGGTGGATGGATATGTTGCAGCCTATCTGTGCGCGCACCGTGGTGAAGGGGCTCACTGACAGATCCCACCGCCTCAGAGGCTGCTTCACCTCTTCATGAGCAGGAGACTTTAGAGGGGCAGAGAACGAGAGCGAGCGTGGAGTGTGCAGAGGACACCGGGTGGGTGTGAGAGTCTTGGGGCTGACCGTCAGGGACCAGCAGCGGAGAAGCCCGACAGACCCCCGCTGACCTGCTGATCCCCAAAACATCTCGGTAAATCAACTAATCCACGCCTGACTGTAGCCACAAGACCCACTATAAACACGCCATTCACTCGAGATCCGCGCAAGCACGGTTTCAAGACAAAACGTTTCCGGTATGACATTTCAGATTAAAAGCTTCATGAAGAATATGTGCACAAGAGATCCTAAAAACTGTATATACTGTGTTTACAGCACCTCGGTAATAGCTCTTTCAACACTAAACTCTTATTCATTTACCTTTCTGTGCAATATGTTTATGTTTTAAGCAGAAACACTTGTCCTGAGGTTTGCAGTGAGAAAGTGCTTCGGGTTCAGAAAAAATATTTTTTATTTCAGGAAGACAGTTTTCTGGGCACATTCGCAAATCCGGTCTGCATTAAATCCTGACTCTGGCATCTGCCAGTCATTTATTGTATGCATTAATTAATCACAAAGATATCGTCACAGGATTGAACTAATTTTCTCGAGGTGGGCGGATTGATCATTTAGATCAATCCGCCCACCTCGAGAAAATTAGTTCAGCAGTATTATCAGCAGTATTATCGATACCAATGTTGGTATCATTGTAGCACTGTAGGATCGATACATTGTTTCTATCATCTAAGTTCAGTGTATCGTCCACTGAACAGTGTGAAATTAATGATTTATTTGTTTTAATGAAAAATATACCTCAAACATCCACTATGAAAAGCATCTGAACCTTTTTTGTGTTTACTGTCATGTCTATTTAAGTTATAGTCTATAGCACATAATTAGCACGTTTTGTTAGTTAATTATTAATCACAGGGATTTGATGGTCATTAAAATTTTGGATCATACCAAAATCTACTAGTAATTTCTCCGGTGCTGACACAAAGTCAGCGTAACAGGACCTATTGCCAGGCATCGGCTGACAAACTTTATTGAATATTTCTAAACAATCTTTCAAAAGAAACATCATATTTGCTTTGCACTAAGCTCAAGCTTTCCAAAGCCTCTGCTACTTTCTATGCTCTGTGGAATGTCCAATATTAAAAATCATACATTTCCACATCACCTTACTTTTTATTTAAGTTTATGATTTTGGCTTGAAGGGAAAGTAATTGACTTCTGGTGTTGCTCCGTGTCACTCTCATACGCTTAACAAACCGGATGTAGAGTCTTGCGTAAACGGCGCAAACTTAGAACCTCCCCTCTACCGGTCCTGTCCAATCAGTAGGATTACGCTATCAGGTCGGAAGTGACGTTAGGTTCGTCGCAAAGAGTGTGGAAAAAAATGAGTTTGGACCCCTGTTACCGAAGCCTAATATGGTGGAGGTGTTGCAGCCCGTCATGAGTCGGAAGACCCTGGTGTTGCACTTCTAGTTATTTTTAATTTAGCTATATTTGTTATTGGATTTTGGCTAATCTGTGCTGCTGATTATTACAGAGGAAAACGAACTGAATGCAAATGCTTCTGTAAACTCATTTTATTCATTTTAACAAAACCAAAGCATTCAACACACCACAGACAGCTTCAATCTATGAACTGCCCTTCCAGTACATGTAATAAAAGTCTCTTATGCTACATACCCGTCACGGTGACCAGATCCCAACATACTACATGTGGGGCAAACCATTTGTTTTGTTACTGACGAAATAAATACAAATAATTACACAAAAACTATGCTGGTGTCAGGGTTGGCATCGGTGTGATAGGAATGACGATTTATTTGAAACCGATGCGTATGTAACGAGCTTTCTAGTCTTTGTGCACTCCTATATTTCCTTATTCTACAGTCCTAATACTCCTACTTGTCATTTCTGTTTGATAAGGACGCATCCACGGATCGCCGCATGTTTCTTAAAATGCGGGGCCTTGGTTGGAGTGGAGAGGGGCAAAAGGATAAACATGCCATGCAGTCCCACGTGAAGTGGGGCACCTGGTCACCTTGGATTCATATCACTGGTAGAAAAATAACTCTTCACATGAAGATTTCCTTCATTTTCAAATCCCCCTCTCGACAAAAGCAATGTTATCACTTTATTATGGAAAGGTTATAAAAGAAACTAGGCAACCCTGCTTTTGTCACTAGTATATACATCCTGTTATTGTAAACAACACATTATAGAAAACACCACAGGGCGGCAGTATTGCCTTACTGGTTAAATAGTGTGGAGCGTACACTAGATTTCATTAAACTTTTATGGAGTATCCTGCGGGCTTATCGTTGACGATGGTATTTAAACCCTTGTTTTCTTTTCCCAGCACATCTTATGGCACAAAGTCTTTAGGTCTGATCATCATCCTCACTCTCTTAAAAGACTGTCTCTCATTGGTGGGGTAGTACTCTGATAATATGTTGTGCCATGTCCCCCAGAAAATCCCATTCCGCACACCTTTGTACCTCCCGTCGTAATATCTCCCGTTAAGGTTTGCGCTCATGCAGGCGTCAAACCACCAGCCGGAGCTGTAGTAGGCCCCGCAGTTCCCGGAGGGGTAGCGGTCGTGGTCCCTGTCCGGCGTGGTGAACGCCCTGTTGCTGTGATCGTACTTTTTGCTGAAGCGGAGAGCATTACCTGCGGTGCCCGAGTAACTGCCTACTGTCAGTCTGTAGCGCAGGCGTTCGCTGGCCACCTTGAACTGCTCGTACTGCGCATACCCCGTCAACCCGTCAAAATCCTCCAGCTCCACCCGCAGCACCATCTCCCTGTCGCGGGTCAGCAGGTGAATGATGTTGTTGCCCAGCCAAAACTCCCCTCTGTCAAGGTCCCCGAAGCCGGATTGGTATTCTGCCCAGGTGCGGTTGAAGTTCACGCTGCCGTCCTGGCGGCGCTGCAGGACGGTCCACCCTCCACCCTCCTGCTCCATCTCGCAGTACACCGAGAAGCTACTAGTGCGGAGGTCAGGGGTCACCAGGTAAAGCCCGCTTTTTGTTTTTCCCCTGAGCAGGTGATCTGAGCAGTCTCTCGGTAGCATGGTAACTGTAACACAATGGAAGAAATGACACATTTCTTAAAAAGAAGGTAAGCCCTGATTTATTTAAGCCCTGTTTTTCTCTCATATTCTCTCTCTCATATTCCAGGTGATATTATCATCTCGCAGCTGGGATTTATTCGTGAAATGAGCTGGCTGAGGTCAGGAGTGCATCAGGTCAGTGGCTTTTCCACCATAAAAAGAGTTACTGTGTGTGAGGGCCTTCAAAGTGGACCTCCACGGTAGATGAAAAGATATCGTTTAATACAGAAATGGTGTTGGAGGCATACACGTGAAGGAAGTTTAATAATTTCACCTTTAAAATAATTGCTTGTCTAGTCCAACTTTCCTATATTTTCCTTCTGACTTTTAAAAAGAAGGTGAAATGAGGCAATAACAGGCAGTTAGAGAAAGAAAAGCGTGCATTTAAAATCCTATTAACCTTCTGTTTTTACTCTATGATGTCATGGATGCTGGTAAATGTTATTTTAATTAATTGCTGGGGGAAAAAATAGCCACTTGTTGAGTTCACTCTCTGTAAACAGCTCTCCACAAAAGGATGGTTTAAAGCTGTTGGTCTTTGCATAGTTGTGGTTTTATCTTTAGTCATGACATTCATTAGGAGCGACACATTTCACACACATGCAGATTCCTCCTTTGACAAATAATAGCCAGTGATGTATGATACAAATCTGCCCACATAATTATATTATGAGGATCATTAGAGTTTACTATGAGATTGTATTGCTTAATTCCTTTCAGCTTAAGTCATTATTAGTGGTCTTATTTATGTCTTTTTGAGTAGTAATAAAGCAATAAGCATTCAGATACTAATGTGGCACAATTCATTGCACATTTCTCGGCCTTGAGGCCTTGAATGTATGCGTGCTTCGCATTTCAAGCCCAGTATAATCTGCATTGATCACTAACATGTCTTGCAGCTGACTGGCAGAAACGGTTTACATTTCACAAGCACACAGAGACAAAACAGGATCAGTGTGATAGAATAAAACAGAATCTCTTGCCTTTAGGTGGTTTGTCTGTTGGCAGTTTGCCGTCCGTGTTGTCAGGCCTGATGCCTCCCTGGTTCTCTTCTGAGTGGTCTTTGTGGTGTATGTTTGGTGGTCTGCCATTAGGACTCAGGCTGTTATTGAAGAAAGCAGCCACCTGGTTGATTTTCACTCGTAACTCACGTGCACTGGGAGTGGAAGCCTCGGCAGCGAGCTCAGGGTGCTTGGGGCCAGGGGTGGTCGCAGTTGTTGACCTGAAGTCAGGGCTGGGTGGAGAGATAGTGTGAGATATGGGAGAAGGAGATGTAGAGAATGCAGGAGCTATTTCTTCCATCTTGTGATGTTTCTCAGTTTGTGTGTCTGAGCCAGAATTTGTCTTTGACTTTGAGGATCCTGGAGTGGTGCTAGGGATAACACTTGTGAGGATCCCACTGATGATTTTGTTTGGTTTTGTTGTCATTGGGATTGATGCTGGTTGACTGGCTGTTTGTGGCCTCAGATCAGACACAATCCTGTTGTTTGGGCTCATACTGGAATCTTCAGGCTGACTTTGAAGGTGAGGGAAGGCTCCATTTTCCAGACTGTTGGAGGTCTTTGGACCTGGAGTGACAGTTTTCCTTAGACTGGGATTGAACTCTCTGTCCCCTGGGGAATGAGTCACTTCAACAGTATGCTTTATGGGGCCAGATGTAGAAGGCGTGTTGATTTGAGAGGTTTGGGTGTGATCTGAAGTAGTCCAGCTGATGTTAGGTGGATCTGTTTTGGTCTTTGGACTTAGCTTTGGTTGCACTGCTGGTTTTGGCCTTTGAACTGGTGGTGCTCCTGGCCTAACTGTAGGCATGCTTCGTGGTTGGTAAATGAAGGGAAGCCTTGGTTTTGACGTTCTATTGGACTCTGCCCGAGGTGCAGGCTTGGCATTCAGATTAGGCGTTTCTCCAAGCTTAGGTGTTTTAAAGTTGTGACTGGTTTCTGGTGGTTTGGGGCCAGTTTTGGGCCTTACATTCGGTTTTGGCTTGAAGCTTGTCCCAGGTTTTGTATGTCTTGGTTGGTTGGGCACTTGATCAGGTTTGGGTTTTGTAGGGATGTTCTGTCTGGTTTTAGGCTTTTGGTTGGGGGGTGTTTTCATGGTCTCAGGCATGGTTTTCTTTCCTGGTGTTGGATCTTGATTAGAATTAGACATGTGTGATGGATTTTCATCAGATGTCTCATTTTGTTTAGGTTTTTCTGTGTAGCTAGCTGTTGGACTTTCTTTTGATTCAGGCTCTTGGACAGGTTTGGGTTTTGTAAGGATGTTCTGTCTGGTTTTAGGCTTTTCCTTAGGGGGTGTTTTCAGTAGATCAGGTGTAGTCTTCTTTCGCGGTGTTGAATCCTGATTAGAATTAGACACATGTGAGGGATTTTCATCAGATGTCTCATTTTGTTTAGCTTTTTCTGTGTAGCTAGCTGTTGGACTTTCTTTTGATTCAGGATCTTGGACAGGTTTGGGTTTTGTAGGGATGTATCTGTTGGGATTTTAGGCTTTTGGTTGGGGGGTGTTTTCTGGTAGATCTGATAGTCTTCTTTCCTAGATTGGATCTTGATTAGAATTAGACATTGATGGATTTTCATCAGATGTCTCATTTTGTTTAGCTTTTTCTGTAGTAGCTAGCTGTTGGACTTTCTTTTGATTCAGGCTCTTGGACAGGTTTGGGTTTTGTAGGAGATTCTGTCTGGTTTTAGGCTTTTCTATTAGGGGAGTGTTTTCAGTAGATCAGGCATGGTCTTCTTTCCAGGTGTTGAATCTTGATTAGAATTAGACACTTGTGATGGGATTTTCATCAGATGTCTCATTTTGTTTAGCTTTTTCTGCATAGCTAGCTGTTGGACTTACTTTTGATTCAGGCTCTTGGACAGGTTTTTGTTTTGTAGGGATGATCTGGGTGATTTTAGGCTTTTGGTTGGGGGGTGTTTTTGGTAGATCTGGTATAGTCTTCTTTCCAGATATGGGATCTTGATTAGAATAGGACACTTGCATTGGATTTTCATCAGATGTCTCATTTTGTTTAGCTTTTTCTGTGTAGCTAGCTGTTGGACTTACTTTTGATTCAGGTCTTGGACAGGTTTGGGTTTTGTAAGGATGTTCTGTCTGGTTTTAGGCTTTTCCTTAGGGGGTGTTTTCAGTAGATCAGGTGTAGTCTTCTTTCGCGGTGTTGAATCCTGATTAGAATTAGACACATGCGAGGGATTTTCATCAGATGTCTCATTTTGTTTAGCTTTTTCTGTGTAGCTAGCTGTTGGACTTTCTTTTGATTCAGGCTCTTGGACAGGTTTTTGTTTTGTAGGGATGATCTGGTGATTTTAGGCTTTTGGTTGGGGGGTGTTTTAGTAGATCAGGTGTAGTCTTCTTTCGCGGTGTTGAATCTTGATTAGAATAGACACTTGCATTGGATTTTCATCAGATGTCTCATTTTGTTTAGCTTTTTCTGTGTAGCTAGCTGTTGGACTTACTTTTGATTCAGGCTCTTGGACAGGTTTGGTGTTTTGTAGGGATGATCTGTCGGATTTTAGACTTTTCTTAGGGGGGTGTTTTCGTTAGATCAGGCGTGGTCTTCTTTCGCGGTGTTGAATCTTGATTAAATAAGACACTTGCGTTGGATTTTCATCAGATGTCTCATTTTGTTTAGGTTTTTCTGCATGTAGCTAGCTGTTGGACATTACTTTTGATTCAGGCTCTTGGACAGGTTTGGGTTTTGTAGGGATGTCCTGTCTGGTTTTAGGCTTTTGGTTGGGGGGTGTTTTTGGTAGATCTGGTGTAGTCTTCTTTCCAGATATGGGATCTTGATTAGAATAGGAACTTGCATTGGATTTTCATCAGATGTCTCATTTTGTTTAGCTTTTTCTGTGTAGCTAGCTGTTGGACTTTCTTTTGATTCACGATCTTGGACAGGTTTGGGTTTTGTAAGGATGTTCTGTCTGGTTTTAGGCTTTTCATTAGGGGGTGTTTTCATTAGATCAGGCATGGTCTTCTTTCGCGGTGTTGAATCTTGATTAGAATTAGACACTTGTGAGGGATTTTCATCAGATGTCTCATTTTGTTTAGCTTTTTCTGCATAGCTAGCTGTTGGACTTTCTTTTGATTCAGGCTCTTGGACAGGTTTGGGTTTTGTAAGGATGTTCTGTCTGGTTTTAGGCTTTTCCTTATGGGGTGTTTTCAGTAGATTAGGTGTGGTCTTCTTTCGCGGTGTTGAATCCTGATTAGAATTAGACACATGCGAGGGATTTTCATCAGATGTCTCATTTTGTTTAGGTTTTTCTGTGTAGCTATCTGTTGGACTTTCTTTTGATTCAGGCTCTTGGACAGGTTTTTGTTTTGTAGGGATGATCTGCGTGATTTTAGACTTTTGGTTGGGGGGTGTTTTCGTTAGATCAGGTGTGGTCTTCTTTCGCGGTGTTGAATCTTGATTAAAATAAGACACTTGCGTTGGATTTTCATCAGATGTCCCACTGTAGCCAGGTTTTTGGTCAGTTGTTGTTTTTTCTCCACCTTTTGACCATTTTTCTATTTTTTGATTTTGGTCCGGCTTCTCAGTTTTTGGATTATGGACTATTTCCTTCTCGGATTTCGGTTCAATCTCCGTTTGATTAGTAGCAGTAACTTGATCAGGATATTCATCAGATCCGGCCGTGTTTGCATTCTGAGGTCTGTGATGTGGTGGAGGTGTCCAAATAGGAGTCACAGTCTTTTCATTAGGTTTTGACTTTTGAGTAGGTAACTTGTTTTGATCAGATGTATAATTTTGGCCATATTTAGGTATAGAATCGTTATTCAAATTTTGATCAGTGGGTAAAATATGAGGGGGAATTCTTTGCTTAGGTTTTGAAGTTTCGACTCCTTTTGGGTCTTTGCCAGGTTGAGGTTTAGGTCTTTGGTCGATTCTGGGTTTGTGGTGAAAAGGATGCTTCTTTTGGTTGTATTTTGGTCTTTTGCCAGGCTTTGGTCCTTGGCCTGGCAGAGGTTTTGCTCCAGTCTTAGTATTTGAGCTGATGTTCTTTTTAGCTGTCCAGCGGCTGTCATCTATAGCTCCTACAGTTGAATCCTGATGATGAGCTGTGGTGACTGTAGTTGTCGTAGTTGAACTAATGTGACTGTGGAGGCCTGACCTGGATGTAGTAGTTTGATTGGTTATGTGTTGTCCACTCCCTGTGCTCATTGTAGTTTCTGTGTGAGTATTTGCATCAGCTTTTGGAGGCTTAGAAATCCCAGCTGCTACAAGGCCTGTGTTTTGGGTTGTTATCTCGTGACTGACATCTGTGATATAATGCAAGGTGGAGCTGGGCATTGGGGGAGATGGAATAGATGACGTAGCTTCATTCGAGTCCACAGAGTCTACCCCTAGAGCTATGTTAATTGTAGAGTGAGGAGTTGGGCTGATTGAAACAAAGTCTGTCCTTTTAGTTGCTTCGCTGGATGGTAATTCTCTATCGTCTCCCTCTCCACTCTCTGTCTCTTCGTCTTCTGTTTTGATCTCCTTTCCCGTCTCTCTGCCCTCGCCCCCCTCTTTTATAGTCTTTTCTTTTTCAGTGTGCCTGATGCTTTCGGTCTGTTTTCGTTCCTCATTATTTTGCTCTACTTTTACTCTCTTTTCCATTTCCTTTTTCTTCTCCTCCCTGCTCTGCTCTTGCTCCTGATTTGTATTCTCATCATGGTTCTCTGACATCTTTATCCTATCACTGGCTGCAGTTTGGGTCTCTGTTTCCTCTGTTTTATCTTGCCACACGTGATGACCACTTTCTTCAGTTTTATTTACATTAGTGAAAGTCTTTCTTTCTTTTCCATGCTCCAGATTATTCTCTTGATATCCCTTTGAATTCTCTTCTCCGGCGGTGTCTTTATTTCTGTCTCTCTCCCCCTGCCTATTGTTTTTGTCAGCAACCTTTTCTCCTACTGTTCCCTCATTTACACCACCAGTTGTTACCTTTGTTGGAACCACTTTGTCCTTTCCTTTTCCTCTGTCTGATTGAGTTGTTCCATCAGTTTCCAGCACTTCTGTCAGAGTTTCTCCTTCCTCATTTTCTTTTATGAGTCCTCCATTGCTCTCTCTTTCTGTCTCCCATTTCTTTCTTTCTTTCTCTTCCAGAGTGCCTGTTTTTTCCGAGTCTCCATCTCCTTCCATAACACTGACTGTGCTGCACTCTTGTTTAAAACCATTCTCTTGAAGTCTCTCATTCACCCAGTTTCTGTCATCCTCACGTCTATCCGTCTCCTCACTCAGCGTCTCACGCTCATTCTCTCTGTGCCTTCCACACTCTCTCTCAGTTTGGCTTACTGTACAGTCTGCGCAGATCTCCCGCAGTTCATCCACACTGTCCTTCAGCTTCTGCAGGTCCTCCACGATCTTCTCCAGCTCTTTGAGCTGCTGTGGCAGGTGAATCCTCAGCGGTGGCAAAGTGAGTAAGTAAGGGCACGTGTTCTCATGCTGCACCTGTCTGCACTGCCCCCCAGGCGTCAGTGTTACAGTGCAGGGACCAAATCCTTTATCCACAAGGAGTATTCCTTCATCAGAGTCTGCTGTGATCCAAGAAAGACTTGAGAAGGCCAGCAGGGTCCCACATACGCACAGGGCTGTTAACCTCATTGCAGCCTGAGAGCAAAGAGTGAAGGGAGAGGAGGGAGAGAGTGTAAAAACACCCACCTCAGTTTGTGAGAAGCGCAGCGAGAGCAAGAGAAGGAGGAAAGGTGGGAGGGAGAAGAGGAGGGAGTGGGAAATGATGGAGCTGTGCAGTGAAAAGTGAATCTGTGAGATATCTGAGAAAAATGAAGGAAGGAAGAAAGAAAGAGGGGAAAATAAAACAGAAAAGTGAGAGTAGGTACGTTTTTAAGATAGTGAATGATATGGATGAAGCGTGAGGAAATCCGAAGATATTTCTGCTTCATAATATAAGCAGAATTAACTGCAGCAGTTAGTAACCACTTGGGAAACATTATAAAATACGGAAACTTTAGAAAGCACATGTCTTAACAATTTATTGGATTACAATTGATTCTAATTCCACTCACATCAGTTAATGAAGAACATTTGCAACACATTCTCCCTCTATGCTGTAATGATAAATGTATCACGGACTTGAATATGCATGTGTGTCGCAGTTGCTTTGGCAAGAGCGTCCCGAGCTTCCTGACAATGCGTACACAAACATGTGAATGGCACATGTAACATTTGAAGCAAAAAAGCTGCTGCTGGACTGAAGCCAAGAGGCTGTTATTCAGATTTGAATGGGCATACTTCATTTTACTGTAAACTGTGAGGCTTAGTTCAGCTCATGATTAATGGTGGGCAGGAATGTCTGATTTATCTAAGAAGACCATTTGATTAAAACACAGTTCCAGAAGAGATAAATATCTCGTGTACTATTGACTTTATTCGGACAGTTCTAATCCCCAACAAGTGTCAGGGATTGTGAGGCAATCTCTGGGTGGAGAGGTTGATCTGACTATGTACAGACTGTTCATCTGTATTTGGGGTCTTGGCTAATTCGTTTTGTCTACATATAGTCAGAAAACAGGAAAGAGAGAAAACCGAGTCACATGAGCTAAATGAGGCATCTGCTTCACAGGGAGTTTGGATAATGAGGCTTTACTTTCTCGGACCACGGGTGTAAATGTCAGTCCCACAACAGGATATGAGATATGAGTGATAGCATGCAATGCCAGTGTTTGATGTTTCAGAAATGTGTCTGTTTTTAATGCTTGTTAGACCACTAAAATGATCTTACTTATCGACCGAGACACGATCTCTGCGCACTTTTTTGTCTGTGTCTATTTGACCAGCTGAGAGATTTCTCAGCTGTCCTTTAATAATGACAAAGGAAACCATTTGTTTAGTGAGAGCACCGTGGGAAGCCTCAGGTTAGAAATGAAAAACGATTGAAGTAGAAGGCTGGATGCGGCACATCGCCGGTCTGCGAGGTCACGAACGCATCTGGAGAAACTGCATCGTCTAAGAGCGTAACAGCTTTAAATCCTGCGGTTGGTCTCAGAGAGGAGTATTTTAAAATGTTTTGGCTATTGTAATCGGTGTAACCCTTCTCTGTCTAACTTTAAATTTCAAGTTGGATGGTTCTCCTCCTCCTCCTTCTCCTGCTGTGCTAATGCAGCTATGAGCTCATTTGACGTTTGACAACTGTTGGCAGGATAAAAGCCAGGAATAAGTGTCCTTTCACCTTTCACAGGCACTTCAGTACTTCAACACTTACACTGGGAAATGGTGTGAGATAAATGTTTACGCTCTCTTAGCATTAGGCTGTATTGATTTATTATCACAGGGCTGCATCTTTTACAGAGCGGCCAACCCTAAATCTCAGACATTTACTGCTTAACCACAACAAAGTAGCCTGACGCACGGGCCGCACGATGAAATGAGAACGATTGGAGTTTTTAGAGCAGTCGATCGACATGTAAAGGCTAGATTCATTTGAATGAATTCATTTTGTTTCTTTGACAGCTCCAGGTCCCAGTCAGCAGCTCCATTGTTCCCGATAATAACCTCACTCCTGCTTTATCCATTTATGGACTGCAGCTTTTTTCTCTTCATGGTGCCCTTTTGGGATACAGTGTTTTGAATTCCCTCGGTGAGTTGGCTGGGCCCACTCTCTGTCCCTGATCATGTAAACACTGTGCTTTTTTTTTTTTTTTCCATAGGGACTAGAACAAACATCTGACCATCAATCCGGGCTCTGCTGCCTGAGCGTCCTGGCAGACCACTTCATCTCCATCCACTTCGGGCAAAGGAGCCAGTGCCGTCGTTTGCGTCTGTTATGTGCATAAGTGTCTCATTTCCAGCTGCACTGGAGTGAGCCCAACAACTGTCGTAGTGCAGCGCCAGCCTCCTGTAACACCACACTCAGTCTGCCTGCCTGAAGGTATAACCCTACCTGCGTTATTCCACCGTCTCTCGGCTCGCATGCCAAGAATAAATAAATATTCAGCTCTGTGATGCAGTACCTGGCCTAATCATGTGAATGGGCCCAAATGTAAAGTCTCCTTCATCCCTCTCTGTTATAAAAATGCGCCTATAGTCATATTCACATGATTTGCCTGGATCTTTAATTCTGCAGTAACGGATGCAATCCTTTGCCATGTGTGAGAATGTTTTTCATTGAACACTGATAGTGACTCTTAAAAGTGAGACAATCAAATGTCCCTCACATCTGGGCTGAATTTCCTGCAGCTAGCCAACACCAGATAACATCAGGTCAATTAGTTTCTAATCCAAAATCCTGGAATTCGTTAAGAAATTGTTTAAAACTTATATTTAATAATCCTCGTCCTGATAAAGGATATAGAAAACGGGCTTAACATGGGAACAGCTTATCTGCTGTTGTCACTGCCTGCCCACCAGGAGCGGACATTTCTGAGACCCTGGCATGCACATCGAATAAAGAGGTATTTTTCCATTGCAGGAGAGGTGCTTTTTCTTTTAAAAACGTGTGAAGCGTGTGTTGTAGTAAAGGTTCTACAGAGACGTAGCCGTTCGGTTTTCCATCATAACCTGATGTTCATACTGAATAGATTTGTGCTGCATACTGTAAATGTCCCAGCTGTGCTTAATAGAAACCATGCATCATACACAGACAATAGCCTAGAGATAAACTCACATAAAGGTGTGCCTGAACGCACCGCAGAAACCCCTTATTTACTAAACCTTCTTCTTCTCAGCACCACTTCCACAGTCATATTTTTAGAGACTGCTAAACATTATGACATTAGTCAGGTGTTGCCATATAATACTTCACTGCACGTGAAAAGGCAAAGTATGGCTGCCTGACAATGTTAAAACAATAAAACTGTTTATTATTCCAGCGTGCCACGAGTAAGAGTGCAGAAAACCAAACTGTGAGAGCTGGTCTTTATTTTCAGAATTTGAGCTACTCCAAGTTTAATGTTTAAAACGATAATAAAGTCACTGAAGATGCCAAATGTGGGGAAATAAAAAGTTGAGCTATTTCCCTCCCAGTTGGAGTAGAATACTACAAAATGATACCTCAAATCTGTCCTCGAGCATAGCAGTCAGGTAGCTGGACTTTCTGCCTCTGCTGAAGATGCTGCAAAGCGTTATCGTCTTTCCACTGACTTGTGTGATAGGAACCAGAAATAAGCTCTATGTACTTCAAACTGTCTTCTCTTCTCTGTGAAAACTGTTTAAAGAGTCAGTGTGCAATCTAATGAGCTATGTCAGCCAAAAGAAATAAACAAATCTCATTTTTGAGTAAGCGCTCGTGAACACTGTGTACACTACCTTTCCGATCTCTCTGCACAGATTAAGACTTCTTCTTTCAAGGCAGTGGATGTAGACTGAAATGTTTCAGTGACATAATAGAGAGATATCTTTCATCTAATATTAGTATGTGACGAAAGACAGCATTTTAATTTTAATTGCCCAACATTGACATTAAATGAATAATAGTTTTTAGATATTGCATTTAATTAAACTAGTGACTAACTTGTTGTTGTGCAATAGTGATGAAAACACGTGCAGCTGACCACTCCCAACATGAGTAAGGTTTGATGGCACAGTGGTGAGGGTCAGTGAGCAGGGTGATTTCCACAGGAAAACAAACACTTGTAAAAAGCCCTTCAATGCATTTCCACTACTTCACTGCCACCTGCTGGCACAAGCTAGAAGTGTCTCATAAATTAAAAAAACAACATTTCATCATACTCAAAATTTCACATTATCGTCTCCAAATGTCGACATAAAAGGTTTTTGTCCTTTATTACCATTTGACCCGAATGAGAATTTTAAATATAGAGTGTATATAGAGTGTGGTTAATCAAGAACATTTTAGTTTTGTTTTTGTTTTTTTTATCGATTTAGGAATTATGTATGACTCATATTTTAAATTAACAGTAAAAGGAAAAAAATCCTGCGGCCCTGACGACCCTGATTAGGATAAGCGGAAGTGAATGGATGGATGACTGTAGTAATCAAGTGTACCACTAGGGGGTGCTAATAGCTTAATTTAAGAAACGCTGCATTGAAGAATGATAATAAAACTTAAAAAAAAAAGGTGTTCAACTCTTTGGAGAAACTGCAATTTAAAAAAAAAAAAAAGACAGAACATACGTGAATCCTTCACAGATTTTTTTTTTTTACAACCCCATAGATAAATGCATTTATGGGGATTTTGAATTTTCTGTCATTACAAAAAACATTTTAAAACCACAAGAACATAACAGATGTTTTTGGTAGAGATAAAAACTGCAAAATTATGATTCTGATTAAAAACATTTTTGTTGTTGAATGAACAAAATGGACTCACGAAACTATAAAATTCATACTTATTTCTGTATATCTGTCTGGACAGGAAAGTCTAACTATGACTGTGTGCAAATTCATGTTAAAACTAATCTGACATGACCTATAATTACTAAAACTAATTTAAACTAGTAATTTATGGTGACATAGTTGCAGTAATTTATTGAAACGTGAATAAAAATGGAAATGCAGTATAGCAACTTATCCATAATTTATTTTAGCCCTGCCACTTCTTCTTTGGTCCTCCACTTGTCCAGTTTCCTCATATTTTTTAAGGACACACTGCAAAAGATGCTAAGTTTAATTTCATTGGTGCAAAAACTATTTTATGCCTGTAAAGCTTTGTTATCTTTGACATTTTTTGTAGATTCAACTAAAGGAAAGTGAACAAATTCCCTTTTATTGCAGCGAACTGCTAGTAAAAAAATTGGCTATATATACAATTTAAAAATAGCTTCTGTTATATGTATACACAATAAAAGTTCATATTGTGTGGCTAAAATGGAGGCCCAGTGATGGTGCCT